GACTAATACTGCGAAATGATATTGGGAAATAAAAATAATAGTAATAACTAAAAGAGTGAGGATGTCTCAACCATAAGGGAGACAAAGAGTGATGGACGATATTGACTATATTGACTAGTACGGCACCCGCGCGTTGCGCGGCATGATGTTAAATAAATTGATGAATTATAATTTAAAAGAATGATAATTTATTTACAATAATGTCACTTATTAGACATTTGAATAATTATACAAATAACATTAGTTGTAGGCGAATTGAGTTTATTATGATCACTATTGCCACTGAAAATATTAATCTTTCGTTTATAACTCTAGAAACAACAGCTACTATTATGGAAGTGTTGTTTCAGCAGCCGCAATAGGAGCTTCTCCTAGGGTATTTATATAATCCCCTTAGGTTTGGAGTCTTCTTTAAGGCATAGGACTCCAAGCACGATTTTCTTCCTTGTATATAGCAAGAATTATGGCAAGATAATCTTTTATTCTCTCCCTAGATTCATTCACATGCACGCCTCTCCTTTCCTTCTTTTCTTCAACATCTGATTTCCTACAATAAGAATTACCATAATAAAATCCACACAATCTTATATATGGAATATAAAATAAACTCAAGTAAGTAAATAAAATAATTAAAGATCTTCCATTTTCCTGTGGTTCCAGGTGCTTGTTCGAACTGTCGAACTAATGCCAAATAAAATATATTTCATTAATGAATTATAATTTAAACGAATGACAATAATGTCACTTATTAGACATTTGTATAATTGTATATATAACATTAGTTGTAAGCGAATTGAGTTTATTATGATCACTATTGCCATTGAAAATATAAAATCTTTTGTTTATAACTCTAGAAACAACATTATGCTACTATTATAACTAAGCGCATGTTTTTTCAGCAACAATATCACATATAACAACAATAGTTGACTTTGATCAACTCACATTGCCTAAGACAACATAATAATAATTATCATCGTTGGAATTTAAATAGTAGCCTTGAATTGGAAAACGTCAAGGATAACTGTAGAACAAAAAAAAAATCCACGAGAATTTCACCTTTTATACATTAAAATTATTTATCAAGTCATTATTCATCAAGTCAATAACATATCGAGCTATTTGGACTGAAAATTATTTATAAGAGGAAGCTAATTAAACTTCTTGAAATATGCATTGAGATTTTCGCTGCAAAAATATTGAATTATTTAAATAAAATTTCATTAACAAAGGAACGACAACTATAGCAGACAATTTTTACTCCAACATACATGTAAAAAGATGAACAGATTTTGATAGTTTTTTTTTATATAATTTATTTACTATTGAACACAAATTCACATCAATTTTAATTGCACAATAAATGTTAAATTAAATATAATGTTTATAAATTATAAATTTTGAAGCATGTCAATTTAGTTCCAAAAAATAACTTGCATGAGATTTTACATTTTGAAAAATATTTATAAATATTATTTTTCAATTCACCCTCTTAGTCCTAACACATTGTGAAATTTTATTTAATTTGTTCCAACCAAAAAAGTTAGAGATGATATTGTTGTGTTTTAAAAAAACTATTATTCTACTTTATATATATATATATATATATATGACTTATATTTTTAAAATTAAAACCAATATTCAGTAAGCCAAAATATAAATTAAATTTTCCCTAACATAATGTTCTCGTCAATAAGTTTATATATTTTATCTATAATAACATTCAATAATAAATATATGCAACCTTCTATATTATATTTATTTTTAAGACAAATTATATTATTTTCCGAAAATAATTTTTTTATCTTGATGTAACTTTTTCCATAAATTTAGGTACACTAAGCCTAAGTGAGTTAGTACATTATTTATTCACGTTAATAAAACATTATTTTCGATAATAACCACAAACTTGGATATTATACCTTCACGTTAAAAAAACCATCATTTTCGATTGCAACCCCAAACTTGGATATTATACCCTTACTTCTTAATTTTATACCCTTTATATGTTCGATAGTTTGAACAATATTACTTGAATTATCCAACTCTAGAAAGACTAACAGAAGATGATGATATGTTACTTAATTTGAGTTGTTGTGTGTAATATATCTAATTCACACCAACAAAAAAATTAAATTTTGTGTATAATTGATTTTTAGTTATTTTTTACTTGCAATTTGAATCTGACATAAAATCTTAAATCTAACTTAAAAATAAAGATAAATGTTTTATCTCATTTTGATTTTTTGTCCCAACATTGATCTAAATGACATATTGTCATGAGTTCCAAAAAAATAACTTTAAAAAACACTTTCATTTAAAATTGTTTTCAATAATTGTTAAATGAAATTATGTTAATTGTTTATAATAATAATAATAAAAAGATCATATATATATATATAAAAAACTTGCACTTACCCATCAAAAGTGGAAAATTGACGAAAATGATTTGTGCAA